GACAGCCATCCGCAGCGCCCACAGGAAGGAGGAGGGGGCGGCGGTGGCGCAGGCGGTGGGTGCCCGGCTCCGGGGGCTGACGGAGGAGGACAGCGTCCTGCTGGAGGCCATGGTGCCCACCGCCCGCCTGCCCGCGCCCCCCCCACGTAAGGCCCCCGCCCTCGGGCGCCCACCACCCTGGGACGGGGGGGAAGAATCCCCCGGGGTCCCCCGGGTCCCTGCAGCTCTGTCGGACACGTGTCTGTCCCCTGGGGCGGGTGGGTGGTGGCCATCGTGGTGCCCAAAGTACTGGGGCCCTGGGGGAGGGCATGAAGGTCACCCTGGATGCCCACGGTCCCCTGGGTTAGGGTTGGGGGACAGTTTGCCACCTTGGACCCCCTACCCCCACAGATCCATGGGAAGAGGTGGGGAAGATCACCCTGGACCCCCATGGTTCCCTATGGTGGGGGGGAAAGTCACCCTGGACCCCCACGGTCCCCTGGGGCAGGGCAGGGTGTTGGGGTGACCCCTTTTAGATCCTGACCCCGGTCCCGTGGGGCTGGGGATGGCAGTGGCCATGCTGTACCCCTCACTCCCTGGGGCTGGGTTTGGAAGGGGCCACCACGGTGCCACAGGGAGCCCCAAAAGCCCCCAGAGGAGGGGGAGGACGGGCAGGGCCGCCCCGTCCCCGCTTGGCGGCCGTGCCTGCCCTGTCCCTTGCCCCCCAGGCAGCCCAGCCCCGCGGCTGCCCATGGCCCTGCGCATCTGCACCCTCGTCTGCAGGTCCTGGGGGGACCGGCCTCAGCTCTGCCAGGTACAGCATGTCCCCACACCCTGGTGGCTCTGTGTGTGTCCCCAGCCTATGATGGCTGTCCATGTCCCCATGTCCTGGTGGCCCTCTATGTCCACAAGCTATGGTGGCAGTCAGTGTCCCCAGGCTGTGGTAATCTGTGTGCCACACCCTGTGTGCCTGTACATGTCCCCATGCCCTGGCGGTGGCCCTGGGTGTCCCTAACATTGGTGGCCATCCGCACACATGCTTTGGGTCAATGTGTCACCCCACGTCGCTGTGCCCTGGTGGCCGCTGCGTCCCCAGGCTATGGCTTGGCAGCCAATGTCCCCATACCCCGGTGGCAGCCGGTGTCCCCCACACACGTGGATGTCCCCACAGGTGGCCTGCGCCGTGGGACGCGCGGAGAGCCCGGTGCGTCACGGCGCGGCGCTGCCCCAGGGCCTGGACTCCAGCCTGCAGCAGTGGGGGGTGGCGGCCCCCAGCCAGCGACAGGCGCTGGCCACGCGGCTGCGGGAGGCCACCGAGGCCGCCATGGCCGCCCTCCTGGCCACCGAGGCCGAGCTGAGCCCGCAGCAGCGCGGTGGCACCCGTGCCCACACCGACATCCTGGGTGAGCACGGCGCGGGTGACACCGCCGGTGCCCACGGTCACCCCGCGGTGCTCAGCGCGGTGTCACCGTCACCATCCCCAGGCGTGGATTTCCTGCTGGCGTGCGTGGATGAATCGCTAGAGCTGGTGGCCCTGGCCACCAACAGCCAGCGGTGCCTGGAGACCTGCGCGCTGGCCGAGGCCATGGGGCGCGGTGTGGGCGAGCCCTGCGGGGACCTGCCGCGGCTGCTGGCCGAGGCCATGCTCCACCGGGCTCAGTGTCACCTGGTCGAGGGCAAGGACATCCTGCTCATCGGGGCCGGGGGCGTCAGCAAGAGCTTCGTGTGGGAGGCGGCCCGCGACTACGGGCTGAGGGTGAGGAGATCGGGCCGTCGGCGGGCTCAGGGTGGCGGAGGGTGGCACGGACGCGGTGCCAGGGCCGGCCGTCCTCCGCTGACGCCTCTCTGGGGCCGCAGATCCACCTGGTGGAGTCGGACCCGGAGCACTTCGCGGCGGGGCTGGTGCAGACCTTCCTGCCCTACGACAGCCGGGAGCACCGGCGGGACGAGGAGCACGCGGAGCGGGTGCTGGAGCTGCTGCGCTCCCGGGGGCTGCGGCCCCACGCCTGCCTCTCCTACTGGGACGACTGCGTGGTGCTGGCTGCCCTGGTGTGCCAGGGGCTGGGGCTCCGCGGCCCCGCGCCCGCCGCCGTGCGGGTGGCCAAGCAGAAGAGCCGCACTCACCGGCACCTGCAGAGCTGCCGCCGCGGCCGCCCGCCTCCCGCCGCCTTCGCCGTGCCCTGCCGCCGCCTGCAGAGCCACGGCGACGTGGAGCGGGCGGCGAGCTCCGTGCCCTTCCCCGCCGTGGCCAAGCTGGAGTTCGGAGCGGGCGCCGTGGGCGTGCGGCTGGTGGAGAACGCCGGGCAGTGCCACGCTCACGCCGCCCGGCTCTGGAGGGACCTGCGCGACGACGCCGACCACCCGGGCATCGGGCTGGGCTGGGGCAACGCCATGCTGCTCATGGAGTACGTGCCGGGCACCGAGCACGACGTGGACCTGGTGGTCTTCGAGGGGCGGCTGCTGGGCGCCTGGGTGTCGGACAACGGCCCCACGCGTGTCCCCGCCTTCCTGGAGACGGCGGCCTGCCTGCCCTCCTGCCTGCCCGCCGACCGGCAGGCGCAGCTGGTGCGGGCGGCGCTGGAATGCTGCCGGGCGTGCGGGCTCCGCGACGGCGTCTTCAACGTGGAGCTCAAGCTGGGGCCGGCGGGGCCGCGCCTGCTGGAGATCAACCCCCGCATGGGGGGCTTCTACCTGCGCGACTGGATCCGGGAGGTCTACGGCCCCGACCTGCTGCTGGCCGCCGTGCTGGTGGCGCTGGGCGTGCCGCCGGTGATGCCCGCTCGCCCCGCGGCCCGCACGCACCTGGCCGGGGTGATGTGCCTGGGATCGGAGCACGGCGAGATCCTGGCGGGCGGCGGGGGCATGGAGGCTCTGCGGGAGCTGCACGGCCGCGGGCTCGTCCGCCTCAACCGGCTCTTCGAGGAGCCCGAGGGGGCCGGGGAGTACGAAGAGCCGCTGCTGAGCGTGGCGTGCTCCGGGGCCACGCTGGCCGAGGCTTGCGAGCGCCTGCTGGGGCTCTGCCAGGGGCTGGGCATCGACTCCCCGCGATATCCCGTGGAGCACTTCTTGTCCCACTTCAAATAGCGCCGGGCAGGCAGCGGGGAGAGCGGGGGAATGGGTGCCCCGGCACGCCCCGGCACCCCCCCCCCCCCCCCCCCCCCCCCCCCCC